AACCAAGATGATATGAAAATTCTCAATAGTCCAATAACAGACAATGAAATTGAAGTAATAATTTAAAAAGGACAGCCAGGGATTTGGCTCAGTGGTTCTGGTGCCTGCCTCGCAAGCACAAGGTCCTGAGTTTGATCCCCGGTACAAAAAAAAAGACAAAACAAAAAAATACCAACCAACTAACTAAAGCCCAGGAGCTCATGGGTTTACTTATAAATTCTACAAGAACGTCAGGAAGATCTAATGACAATACTACTTGTATTAGTCACTTTTCTCTCATTGTTGAGACAAAATACCTGACACACCAAGTTAAAGGGGGAAAGGTTTATTTGGCTTACAGTTCATAGAGGATTCAATCTACAATCGGCTGGCTCAAAGTCAGAGTGGCAGGAGGACATTAGTTCACAGTGGTGGAAGCAGCAAAAGCAAAAAAAGACCTTAAGAGCGTCTCCCTGCCCCTTTTTTCTTATTCTGACTGCTGGGATCAGGGCACTGCCAAACCAATCACTCATGTGGTTTAGCAATCACACAACCCTTAATCTAGATTCAGTACCTCAGAAAAAGCCTTCGACCACATGAGGCTTTGGGGGGAAAATCTAGACACAAACCATAACACTCCTAAAACTTCTTTAATGAAAGTAAAAGGGAAGAAGTACTCCCAAACTAATTCTTAGAAGCTAGCATTACCCTGATTCCAGAACCAGCCAACGACTCAACTGAAAAAAAATGAAAAACAAAAAACTACAGGCCAATTTCATAGACATTTTCAACACAGACACAAATGTCAAGAAGATACTGTCAAACAGAACACAACAAATCATGAAAAAGATCATAAATCATGATCGAGTAGGCTTCATTCCAGAGGTGCAAGGATATCATGTAATGTACCACATAGACAGAAGCAAAGATAAACCAGCAAAAGACACAAAAAAACCTTTCACAAAATCAAACATCTATTCATGATTAAAACTCTGAAAGAAACAGGTATAGAAGGACCTGATGTCAGACTGATGAAAGCTGTTTATGACAGATCTATTGCTAAGATATTAAACAGGGGAAAGCAGAAAGCTTTTCTTCTAAAACTAGGAACAAAACAAGGATGTCTGCTACTAACCCTCACATTCAATATACTTGTGAAAACATTAGCCAGAAGAATTAGACAAGAGAAAAGATAAAAGAGGGATACATATACGAATGGAAGAAGTCAAATCATCATTATATGCAAAGGACATGATCTTAAATAGAAGAGTCAAAAAATCCCACCGAAAGACTCCTACAGTAATGTAGTGTAGCAGAATATAAAATCAGCACCAAAAACTCAGTAGCATTTCTGTATACCTATAATGAACTCACTGAGAAAGAAATTAGGAAAACAATACCATTCACAATAGCATCAAGAAAAATTAAATACTTAGGAATTAACCTAACCAAGGACGTGAAAGACCTCTACAATAAAAACTGTAGTATTCTGACAATGGAGGTTGAAGAGGACATGAAAAAACGGAAAGATGTCCCATGTTTTGAATAGTCAGAACCAGTATTTTCAAAATGACCATACTTTCAACATTGATACACAGATTTAATGCAATACCAATCAAAATACCAATAGCGTTCCTCACAGAACTAGAGAAAACAGTCCTAAAGTTCATAAGAACCCAGAAGAAATTCTAAATTAAGCCATTGTGTAGCATTTTCACTTCCATTAAGGGCTGGCTTAAAGGTTTTTCTTCTTTCACTTCCTAGTTCTGAAAATGACTCCAGGATCTTAGTAGAAGTTTGAACACTAAACAAGTACAGTAGTAGTATTTTGGCACATTTTCTTTACTTTCTGTGTACAAGAAAAAAATATTTAAATGACAGTCATACAAACCAACAATCACATAGAAAAAACTGATGGAAGATATTTCATAGAACGTACCACGTGGACAACTATCTAGTCAATTATTAGACAGAAGTCAGCAAACCAGGCCTGATGGCCAAATGTAACCCACAGACAATAGTTTATTTTGTTTGATCCTTGAGCTAAGAATGATTTTTACATTTTTGAAAACAAGCAAGTAAATAAGACTGTTCAACAGAGACCATAAACACCTTGCAAAGTCTAAAATATTTATTACCCTCAACTCTACAAAAAAGGTTTGCTGACCTTTTATGTAAGCTAAATAAACACATATAAACTAGCCAGCATAAACAAAACTTAAGCTATTAATATGTCAAAGTAAATGCATAATCCTTTCAGTGCTGAGTTCATAATAATACAGCCAAACTCATGTCCAGTCCATCCTATTCTTCTGAGCATACCCTGGGGCATAGTTAACATCTCTACCTAACCTTTTTTTCTCCTAATACAGTCCTTGGATGCTCTTAGATTGGTCTCCCCGCTACTATTTCCAACTATGCCTATCTTTTTTGGAATGAATCTCCCTTTGATATATAAATCCTTTCTAATTTGCAAGTCTGACTTCCTCCAAATGCCCATATTGGCTCTCACTATGCTTTGAATTATAGAAGGTGCCACACAATTCATAATACTATCATATATTTTTTGCTAATGATCTCCAATGTCCAACTAGTTTGTAAACTTTTTTAAATCACTACTTTGATAATATCTCACCATCCTCTGAGCACTTGTCATCTCCCAAGTAACATTCCTCTATCTTAGAAAAAAATATCTGCATGGCTGGTAATGGGTGACAAATGACTGGAAACATCAAAAGATGACACCCATAAAGGAATCTGATGGGAGACTATGGGGTAACTGCAAACTCAGAAGTATACACTAAAGACGGGCAAAGCCACAAAAGTGGAAAGGTAGAAGACTAAGCATCAAGACCTAAAAAGAGACCACTGAAAAATATTCTGAAATTAAAACCCAAAGTACAGTATTAAGAAAATCACAAAAGCTTGTGGCTTTTCAACACTATTGATCACTAAGTTCCTTTTAACAAGTGACTCTTTACACTGATACACATGAGAACAGTATTTCTTCTTTTGCAATGCAATAAAAGTCGTAAAAAGGCTCAGTAGAATAGATAATGCGCACAGTATTCTTAATCTTTAGATTTACAATACTATGAGTTTATTTGAAGTCTGTTAGAAATTGCTAACAAATAAACCCCACTGATGACTTATCTTTTGATTATATGGCTAATTGGAAATCATGTGCCTATCCTTGTATCACTCTCAAAAGTACAATTTAGACTCATTCTGATGGAAAAAAAAAAAGCACCAAGAATATTTTGTTTTAAAAAAACCTTATTTTGGTTACAATATCAAATTATATTTTTTAAATATAGGCAAGAGGGCTGGGGATTTAGCTCAGTGGTGCTAAATCCTCGCAAGCGCAAGGTCCTGACTTCAATCCTCAGA